AGAACAACAAAACAACAAGTACATCACAGTATGTCAGAATATTTTTCATTCAAAATTTAAAAGGTTAAATTCTTTTTGAATGGGAGGCTATACATGCTAGGGGTGCACCGGGATTTGGAATTTTCAAATCCGGTCGGAACCGGATTTACCGGATTTGGACAAAAATTCCGGCCGGAATTCCGGCCGGATTTGCCGGATTTAAAATAAACCAGTAATGGGGACAATTGTGGATAAATCAGTATTCAAAATGGCGGTTTATGTTTTTTACTATTTTTAGTTAGTGTCAGTTTAGATTTTTGATTGTGTTTAATTAAACCTTTTTTAAGTATTTTTTTGTTAATAACTTAATATTTTATAATAATATAAGTGTTTTTTAAACTTAAAAGCTGCCAAATTGATGGTTTATCCCATTCTTGGCGAATTTTTTAAGGTGAAAACAGAAATTTAAATCCGGCCGGATTTTCTCCAAATCCGGCCGGATACCGGATGCCGGAAAATTTGTTAAATCCGGCCGGAATTGAAATCCGGGGCACCCCTAATACATGCCATAATCCCTGATTAACCCTCCTCTCAAACAAGCCTCCCACTCTAACAAGTGTCACCTTTTTTGACGAAGAAATATTTATGTATAAAAACACTGATTAGTTTCTGCCCCGCCCCGGGCAACATATAAATTAACATATTTTTAGAATATATAGATGTTCAAAACTATTAGAATTGATGTTCAAAACTTATTTTAAACTTGAAACAAACCCCAATTTTGCTTTGACATTTGAATGGAAATGGTAATAAATAAATGAATTCGCTTTTTGTTTGAAAGACATAATTATGATTTAGTATAAATGTTACCATAGTCATATGATAGGTTAGAAACAAGTTTATCCTTTATATTAATTAAACATACTTTATAAACAGGTTCAATTAAAAGGTTAAAAAGGTCAAAAAACAATTTTAATTGTTAAAACAAACCTTTTCAAAACGAAATCTTTCCACTATTTCTTCTACAACACCTCTTGTTATAAGAAACTCGCATACCTGTGAAATTTAAAGTAGATTTCATGAATATTTATACCCATAATATTATTGAAACAATTTAATATTATATGATTTGAGAATACACAGCTAATGCACTATACACTGTTTATAATACTAATAGGCTTGTGTCTCCCACAGTTTTATCTATACTGATCCCGTTCAAAAAGTGATTTATGTTTTATTCATACTTTTGCATCTTACCTTTGCGGTTGAATTCGTTGAATTTGACGAACAGTCCATTTTAGATGTATTGTCCGCCATATTTTCTATTACAGTGCGTCTACTGTAAGTGGGGCCACTTAGAGAACACTAACCAATCACATTGCAGAACAGAAAGTGAAAAAATCAACAAACGGCGCATTAGCCAATCAGCATTAGGGCAAAAACAAATCGAACAAATAAACGAATGTCAAACGGTAAAAATAGACATGTAAAAGTAAACATTGCAGTTAATGGCTTCCTGAATCTTTCTTTTGATTGGACGAGCTTTAGTTTGATTAGATTTTTCTTTCTGTTCTGCAATGCGATTGGTTAGTGTTCTCTAAGTGGCCCCACTTACAGTAGACGCACTGTAAATTTGTACTGTACATTGAACTATAAATAAACTGGAAGGCTAACTCAGGGGGGGAAATTGAAGCCAGTGTATTTTAGTTTTTCTGAGTTATGAGCAGAAATACTCAACACTAAACGTTGGGTAATATATCAAATTGAAGCTATTGAAAAACGCTATTTGGTGTAGAAATTTCAAGACTTTAGCTAAAAGGGAAATATTGAAAAACTACAAACATAATTACCGATAATTTGCCGTTTTGCAGTTGTTTTTGTATTTTTTAAATATTTTTCTTTTCGCTGAAGTCTTGAAATTTCCACACCGAATAGCAATTTTCAATGGCTTCAATTTGATATATAGCACGACGTTTGGGGTCAAGTATTTCTGCTCATAACTCAGAAAAACTATTTTGGCTTCATCAAATCATAGGCCTTCATCATAGCAGTTAGCCTTCCAGTTTATTTATAGTTCAATGGTACTGTACAAGTCGTGCAAAAAGTCGAGAAAAAAGTCGAGAAAAAAGTCGAGAAAAAAGTCGTGCAAAAAGTCGAGAAAAAAGCAGTGAACTGTAAACTATGGTAATAGTGAAGTGACGTTTTTGACAACACGGACATCAACCGGAAGTAAAGTTGACGTTTTCCACCAATCACAGCCCTTGACCCAGTTTTCTGACGTTACTCATGCCGTCCGTGTTGTCAAAAACGTCACTTGCTTAAGCTCACTATTAACACTGGAACGCTAACTGCAGATAAACATGCCTATACCCCAGCCTAGACCTTAACCTGAGTATCAGGTCCTCGGTATTGAAGAGAGCCTTCCACCCCCAGAATATCAGCCAATTAAACAGAGGAGGTTGGACAGCTAATTAGCGAGTTGTCACGTGAGCTCTCGACCAATGAGATCGCTCTATTTTCCATCGTGTTGGCGAAGATTTTTGGCCGCCAAATTTGCATTGGACACAAAAGAACTCAAAAAATTATATATAAATATTCAAATTTTGCTATCAAAATGCAACCATGGCCTTAAGGTGGCTCAATACACTTTTTAGCCAAATGAGCAAAAGTTGAATATTTTCTGTTTAAATGCTTCTACAGGGTTAAGTTTTACTTATAATTGTAACACATAGTAAGACGTGTCGCAAACAAGAAGAATTCTGATAAAAGTCGCGTTTCCATGACAACTATAACGAATAATGATAGCACTAAATAGCCGAAAATATCGCAGTTTTTCGAGTTTTTTTCGAAAATGAGTTCGGTGACCCCAATTTTTTTTAAATAAATCAGTTACGTTAGTGTCGAGAAACATTTCTGGGAAGTTTAAAAAAAATCTGTCGACTCAATTCTTTAGAATTAAATTTCGACTTTTTTGACAGTTTCTGTCGACAATTTTTTTTTATTTTTCCATCATGAAATCTTGAAGTATGTATCTACTCATGTACAAATTTTCAGGGTACCTTACCGAACTCGTTTTGGAAATAATCACGGTTTTATTCCGCGCGGCCAATTCGCGGCCAAAGTTTTTCACACTCTGCAAGATCAATGAATTGACATGCGCGTACACAATTTAGTGGGCGCAGATAAGAAAAAAACACGCTAAATTCACGCACATAACAAGGTTGTGTTTCACTCAAGTTTTAATTAATTGAAAATATTTGAATTTCTATATTTTTTCCTAACTACTGGTGGAAATATTTGAAACGTTACATGACTGAAAGTATTTCACGACATTCGATAGAATCCTTTTGCTCTTCGTCACTCGTGGGTGATTTTTGTCCGATGGTGTACTTCGCGTGTCCTTCGGGTTGTATGGCGCCATGAACAGTATTCCAACGACTCCAGTTTCCCCAAATTTCTGCCACAAGTTGTGAAGATCGCTGTAGGAGAGTCCACTACCTGCAATTTTCAGAGCCATACCATGTGAGATGGGACTATGATCTTCGTTTGGACAGTGAAGGTTTCCAACGAAAGTTTGATAACGATCATGGCGAAAATCGATGAATTCCATATCAGATTTCATGGCACGAACTGAAGATATCTGGCTGCGATCCACTATTGTTTTTACATCAATGCTCATTTCTGGACTGAACAAGATTCTCTTTAGTGCAATCACGTCTTCTAAAGCATCGTGTGCATCGAAATCTTGATCGAATAGACATTTGTAAACACTGGCAAGATTTGCTTTACAGAATTGGCCGTTCGATTGCTTTAGTGGGGCATGTTGATTGGATATCAATGATCTTATAAGCGGCAAGCTGTCTCCAAAACAAATTTTCATGCTGTGCAGTTGTTCTTCGAAATTATTACCGGCATTGCGAAGAAGTGTAGGAACGTCGAATGTGGCAGCATTATGACCAACAAGGACAGTTACGAGGTTCTCATTTTCGACTGTATTTGTACAACAGGTAGGCCTAATTAAGTTTTGTTGATCTTGTAGGAATTTTATAAATGTTTGTAGTGCTATTTGAAGAGATACTGAATTTACTGGTTTCAAATCTTTGCACAATGTTCTTTCCCCATTTATGGTTTCTACTGTGAGATTATTGACTTTCGATGCATAATATCCAACAGAATTATTGGGCAGAATATATGAAGAGAAGGTGTCACTATTTTGACATATTGCCGATAGTTGACAGATCTCTGCCTGTTTACCAGTGCATGTTGTTTCAATGTCAAATAATACAAACTGGTATGTTTTATCAGGATCATGACTTAGGTATTCTTTTGCTGGTCTTTCAGTGAAAGGTGGAACTAGTTTCATCAAGTTTTCATATAATTGCTTATTATTTGTTATGCCCATAACAATTTTATCAACATCAACATCTGTATTGTTGCCTGTAGTTGTAACTGTAGTTTCCTTTTCCAGATTTAGCCCAATACCTGTTTCATAAGTTTTTCCTTCTTTTGCCTCTTTCCTTGCAGTTTTTGAGATCCTCTCAGATTGCAGCTGATGTCTCCTGATCTTATACTCCTTTGAAGATTTTCTTTTTTTATCACATTGTTGTTTCTTGTCCATTGTAGAATTGTGGAAGCTGCAAGTGACACCTGGATCTATGCCAAGAGAAT